GAAATCAGAAAACTTTTTACGTTCCACACAAGTTTTTGTTTTGAAGATTTTGTGAAAATTGCCTTTTTGAAAAATGTTCCTTGTTTGATGATACATTTTACTTTAAAAACGATCGAGGTTTGAAAATTGTACAATTAGACTTGGCTATAAAAGCTGAAGAATTGGTCCGAGGAGAGTCATTTCGGACATAATGAGTACTGGATACATACAGACGAGTAGTGGGTTCAACAACTTTCTTTTGTTCTGACTCGACAGGAAGATTGGATTGTCTTTTGAGAAACTGAATAGGAACAAACGTATTTTGATTTTGGTAATATGGTTTGATATTTTCCCTGAATGGGTTTCTTTTGGAGTCCTCATGAAATCTAGAGTCCTGTCTAGATCTAACTTCCTTCTTAAGGGCATTTGCTTCTTCTTTAGGAATAACCACATCCTTGCGGTTTTGAAAAGGTTTCTTTTTTGAATGGGTCCAAGGTGGATGAGTTCAGACTAATTGGTTCAACAGAGCTGACAAGAGCAATAGGACCTCTGGAGAGTTCCCTTAAGGTTTGAGCAACATTGGATTCATGACCTTCAAGTTCATAAAAGAGTTGATAAAGCTTCAACTTTTTCAGAGAACCATTACTTTGCAGACACGATTTCACATTTACCCATTCTTTACTGAGGCTGTTTATGAACTTGAGATTGTACACAAAAGGATTTTGGGCAATCGCATGAGCAATCATGTTGTTGACTACAATTCGGTAATGGTTAGAGGCTGAGGCCACTGATTCACCAGGAGTGGTAGTGAAAGTTTCAAACTCATTGACAACTGAGGTGAGACGCTTTTCCTTCACATTTTCAGAACCTTCAATCAAATCTTAAAGAGTGTTCCAAATATCTTTTGTTGATTTACACAACTTAATGTGTTCAAAAGAGTGAGGGAGGAACACCAAACACCATTTCTGAGAAAACAACTTGGTCCAAATGCAATTTCTCAATATCATCTATAGTGAGAGGAGATGGATGTGTTTCGTCTTGTCCTATAAGCTAAGCAGCAGTGTCTCTTACAATTGTTCTTACAGGTACATGAGGTCCTTCTTTGATGGATCTCCAAATAGCTTCACCTTTCACTTTTGCTAGTAAAAATCTTTCCATTCTAACTTTACAGTGATCATATTCTTCCACAACTAGCAGTGGGGCTCGTGTAGGGCAACCTACGCTATTTGAGATTTGCATTGAATACATTTTTGAGTGTTAGAAGCAGCCATTGAAGTTAAGATATCTTCAAGCAAAAGTGGTATATAGAAGAACTTTTATCCTTGACACAAAAATGGTTGAACTACCTAGGTAATTTCAAACCAACTATAATCTAATCTTATGGGTTTAAAGGAAAACCACTCAAGCTTTGATATCAATTGAGAGAACAAGATTGATCGTTGCGCAGGGACAAGGTTTGAAAACTCAAACCTTGAGTTAATGCTTAAGATCAATGTCTGCTTCTAAACAAATATTCTAGTCGAATTTGGATAGAACAGTCAAGTCTGAGTTGAAGTATTCAACAAGTATTCAAGCCATAACTGAGGAATGAGAATATTGATCAAAGTAAGGCTAATAAATGAAGAACAAAAGGAATGTTGCAGAGAACAAGTGAAGTAAATGTAAATAGTGCTAAAGAGTTTGAATAATATATCACATTAATTAGCATTGAAAGCTCCTTTAAATAGGATAACAAGGAACAAAGTACAAACTGAGGAACATACATGGAATAAAAGGAATGTTTCTTACATTCTGATTGTCCAAGTTAACAAACAGACTAAGTCCTATGTAATGTCTAATCATGCTAAGTGACAAAAACAATTTATTCAACGAAAAGTATTGTGCCCGAAATCACTATCATTCTGAATCTAACAAACATTTTGGAATGCCCTCAACTCTACAGCTCCGGACTGGACATCACTTCCAGACTCTAATTTATTCCACACCAACATCACACTTCTGATTCTAAATGACTTCGGATCTACCAAAATGATTAAGATTGCTAGAGGTTCACTTTCAGGTTCCAACAAAGTTCAGTCCATATGAGTTGGATTTGTCACTAACCTTGTCTTGTGGTTATGCTTATGACAAATTCAGATGGATAGGAGCACATACACCATAAAAATCTATGTGTCATAAGGTTTATCTCTAATTCATGTAAAATGATTGTGAGGAAACGCTTTCACTAGGAGAGATTTTAATTAGTTAGCAATTATGTTATTTGCATTCTCAAATTCAATTATGATTACGACATCCATTTTTATAATTTGAATTATGAGCAATGGAAAAGGTCTAAACATTTGAGACTATGATTACAGTATCCCTTTTCATAGTTCTAAAATTATTTAGCCACACATGTGATCTATCTAAAGAAAGGTGTAAGATATTGATAAAGTCTTATCAAAGCATCTCGTATTAGAAATCTGAACTTTGGTAAGAAAGTCAATAAAGCATTGATTTCTAGAAGTCCTGCTGATTTCTGGATACATGTCAAAGCTAGTGGGAGCATAAGTGTTATGCTAATAAGGATATAATTATCATGTTAGTGGGAGCATGATTATTATGCTAAGTATTGAAAATTAGCAATGTTCATTATAGAAAACAAAAGTTTCAATTTGCAAAAGTTGCATGGTTTGAAAAGTTGTTTTGGTATAATTAAGTAAGAGGAAATTATACCTCATTCAAATTCTAAAATCTTAGATTGAGATTTTAATCAAATTTAGTCAAGTATATATATGAATGTTATGTTGGAATGGTTAAACATAAGGAAATTATATATATATATATATATATATATATATATATATATATATATATATATATATATATATATATATATATGGAAATGTTAATTGTGTCCTCAAAATTCAATTATGATTACGGCGTCCCTCTTGATAATTCGAATCATGAGAACATGGCAAATAGAAACATTATAGCAGAAGACTGGTTAAGTATCATGTCTTTATGCGAGACATTAGAATCGTATCCCATATGCTTCGGGTATAGGATTGATTGCATATGCTACAATATTTCTATGCGTTCTGAATTTTCCAAATGCCTAGGTATTAAGAGGGAAAAGGACTAGAAGTGGATATGACTAAAATGATTAAGCAAGTATCGAGGAAAATATGAGGTTTACCAACGATTAGTTGCCCATGGACAGTTGGAAGTATGGTGTAAATTTTGTAAAGGACCATATTGACATACTCTGAAAAGAGGAAACTCTTGTTCGTAAGTGATAGTAAAAAATGGGAATATGGAAATGTTTCCATAAATGGAAGTTATTTTTTAAATCTGTGTAAGATTAGAAAACATAATGCAAGAAGGATGTTCAAAGGAATGTACTTTGAATGTGATACTTCGTTTCCATGTAATTGCTCTCCATTCGAATACTTTGTAATGTTTGTTGCCAAGTGTTTGTGACTTTTGTGCAAAGTCATTACAAGAGGAGCAATCCATAGAAGTTTAGAATCTAACATATTTCGGTAAATGGTAAGAATTTGGTATTCTTACATTTACGATAAGGATTTGGAATTGTGAAATAAGCATCATTGAAAAGTTGTAACTTGATTTATTTCACAAAGAAAGGACCATATGTAAACATAGTGTGCATGCTTGGAGCATGGGACAACTATTGTTTTAATTAAAGTATTAACTTAATAAATTTGAAACATTATACAATGGATAATGAGTAATCAATATGGTGATTAAATAAAAGTTGTTTTATTTACTCTCAAAGGTTTTGGGGCCATATAGGATTAATATTATTCTTGTGTTTCACTTTGCATGTTTTGACTTCCCTAATAATAAGATTATTCAAAGTATCCATAGTCGATCATACATTTGAAGTAGGTATTGTAGCAAGACTGTCATGAATGGGTCTATATGATTCTCTAAACGCGTTTAAGCATAGCACAAGTTTGCCGCAATATTCATGAGTACTTTTGGAATAAGATTCGAGTATTGGATCCCTTATCTAATGGACGCGTCATTAACTAGGTTAGAGTTCGACAACGGCTTTTAAGAACTATGATTGTTAGTCAGGATTTTAGAGTCATACTTGCAATAATAGTTATTAGACTTATCCAAGTAGGATACTGTTGGATTATGTGTCTAAGCCCATAACTCTAATTCGTATGTACTTGAACCGAGAGCAGCATGGTCCATTTTGGTTGCATATCATTAGGACAATTTGTTAGGATGGACTTTTGAGAAGTGGTTATTTATGATTTATTAATCTTTATAAGTTCTAATATATTAATATGAAATCATATGATTTTATTAGTATTTATCAAGAATTAGTTTGGAATTAATTTAGTGATCAAAAGAGACTAATTAAATCAATGGGGGACTAATTGTGTAAATTAGTTATATTTATATGTGTTGGATTTATGATCCATATTGCACTAAGTTTATGTATGAATACATAAAGAGTTGGGCCACATGAACCATGGATCATAAACCCATGGGTATGGATTATGGTTAACCCATGACCCTTTGAATCCTACATATAAATATGTTACTCCATAGCCAAAATGGTGCCTAAGGTTCATATAGTTCATGGGGCCAATTTTGGTGCATGGAATTCTCTCTCAAAAGTCATCCTTTGTGTAAGTCCCAAAACGTGGAACCAACTAGTGATCAAACACAAGAACCAGCTTAAATCAATGAGAACAAGAAGGAGTAGAAGCAAGAATGGTCCAAATTGCACACGTCTCTATATAACCAAAAACATCTGGCAACAACCGTATACTCTATTTGACAGGACTGCCACTATTTATAGGGAACAGGAACCGCAAACGTGTTTACATCCATAAAACCGGTCGCGGCTGCAAACGAGATTACAACCGCAAACACCTCCTAAACCGAAAACCCAATACATACATGAATAACACTAATAAGATCTATACAGTTGAATGCCTAGCCTAAACTAACAAAATATGACCTAACAGTCTCCCACTTGGTTTGAGGCTAGCATGAATTCAGTCTTTCTCGATGACCAGCATGTCAGACCTTCCCATCACCCCAGGGCACATCTTCTTTTTAATGATCTCAGCGATCATGCTTGTAAACTCTTTAACAACAGGCTCCACAAGCTCAGTCTTGTAGATGATTCGATGTTGAGCCGAAGTGTGAATATCCCGTTCACCAAACTGTAGTAAGTCCTTCCTATCAACAATACGAAATACACCATTTGGGAATTTGATGACAGCCGTGGCTGTAGCTTCATCAAAAACCCAGTATTCCATGTTGTGCAGTGATCCATCACAAAAGTGTTGAACAATCGGAATCTGTGTCATTTGCATCAAAGCCCAAAAACTTTTGCGGAAGGAGCGCCATGCATTCCTAGGTCATGTGATTAATGAGAAACAGGAAGTTAAAGACCTCGAGAGCATCCCCGTAGTCTGCAACTTTCCTGATGTCTTTCCCGAAGAGCTCCCGGGAATTCCTCCCGAACGCCAAGTTGAGTTTTGTATTGACCTAATCCCCGGAGCTACCCCCGTAGCCAAGTCTCCATATCGCTTAGCGCCAGCAGAAATGCAGGAGTTATCCAGTCAGCTTAATGAGCTACTCAGCAAAGGGTTCATCAGACCGAGTTCATCACCCTGGGGAGCCCCGGTGTTATTCGTGAAGAAGAAAGATGGATCCTTTCGGATGTGTATAGATTACCGGGAATTAAACAAGCTGACCATCAAAAACCGTTATCCTCTTCCTCGAATAGACGACCTTTTCGATCAACTTCAGGGAGCCAGTTACTTCTCAAAAATAGAACTTAGATCAGGGTACCATCAGTTACGAATTCACGAGGGTGATGTTTCCAAGACAGCATTCAGGACTCGATATGGTCACTACGAGTTCGTAGTGATGCCCTTCGGTCTAACCAACGCACTGACAGTGTTCATGGACCTGATGAACCGGGTTTGTCGTTCTTTTCTGGACAAGTTCGTTATTGTGTTCATTGACGATATACTAGTCTATTCCAGAAGCGAGGAAGATCACAAACAACTTTTGAGATTAGTGCTGGAAACGCTTAGATCGGAGATGTTGTACGCAAAATTCTCCAAGTGCGAATTCTGGATTCGGAAGGTAACTTTCCTAGGTCACTTGGTAAGCGAGGAAGGCATACACGTGGACCCTTCCAAAATCAAGGAGATAGAGAATTGGTCAGCACCGAAGACACCCATAGAAAACCGTCAATTCTTGGGTCTTGCCGGCTATTATCGTAGATTCGTCCAGAAGTTTTCTAGAATTGCCAAATCCCTAACTACTCTGACACAGAAAGGTGTACCCTTTTTTGGAGTGAAAAGCAAGACGCTGCATTCCAAACGTTGAAGCGAGCCTTGTGCAGCGAACCTATCCTATCCCTGCCTGAAGGGACAAAGGACATCGTTGTCTACTATGATGCATCCAACCAGGGCTTAGTTTGTGTGCTTATCCAGTGGGGAAAGGTTATAGCTTATTCCTCGAGATAGCTGAAGGCACACAAAGTCAACTATACAACTCACAACCTGGATTTGGGAGCAGTGGTATTCGCACTGAAGATTTGGAGACACTATCTCTACGGGACCAAGTGCACGATTTTCACGGACCATAAAAGCCTACAACACCTCTACAATCAGAAAGACTTAAATATGAGACAACGGCGATGGGTAGAGCTGCTCAGTGACTATGAGTGTGAAATCCGCTACCATCCTGGCAAGGCCAATGTGGTGGCAGATGCCCTTAGCCGAAAAGAGAGCTCAGGCCACAAGGTGAATACTCTGACAATGACCATCCATTCCCACTTATCCGCACAAATCCGAGAGGCTCAGTTGGAAGCCCTAAAACCAGAGAACGTGTTGAACAAATCCTTGAGGGGAATGGATAAGAATCTTGAGATTAGAGGTAACAGAGTCTATTATTTCATGGATCGAATCTGGACCCCAAAGTTCAGAGGATTTAGGGAGGTTGTCATGAACGAAGCTCACAAGACTAGATATTACATAAACCCAGGTTCGGATAAGATGTACCAGGATCTCAAGATACTATATTGGTGGCCAAACATGAAAGCCGAAATCGCTACCTTCATGGGCAAGTGTCTGACTTGCGCCAAGCTGAAGGTCGAATATCAGAAACCCTCAGGTCTGCTCCAGCAGCCTGAGATACCTGAGTGGAAGTGGGAGATGATTTCTATGGATTTCATTACCAAATAACCCAAAACTCCGAGTGGGTACGATACCATTTGGGTAACTGTCGATCACTTGACAAAATCCGCTCACTTCCTACTGATGAAAGAAACGTTCAAAATGGAAAGACTCGCGCGAATCTACATTCAAGAGATAGTCTGACAGCACGGTGTGCCTGTGTCCATTATCTCTAATCGAGATAGCAGGTTTACCTCGAGATTTTGGCAGTCCCTACAGAAGGCTCTTGGAACTAAGCTAGACATGAGCACAGCTTATCATCCTCAGACAGATAGGTAGAGTGAGAGAACTATCCAGACCTTGTTGAGAGCATGTTTCATTGATTTCGGCAAGTCGTGGGACACTCATTTACCCTTGATTAAGTTCTCTTATAACAACAATTACCACACCAGTATCAAGGCTACCCCGTTCGAAGCCCTCTGTGGTCGAAAGTGCAGATCCCCTCTGTGTTGGGCCGAGGTAGGGGACATGTAGCTAGCCAAGGTTCGAGTCCCCAACAGTGCTTTCACTGGCCCTAAAATCATCCGTGAAACTGCCGAAAAGATCATCCAAATCCGAGATCGATTGAAATCCTCTAGAGACAGACAAAAGAGCTATGCCGATAAACGACGAAAACCTTTGGAATTCCAGGTTGGAGATCGTGTTATGTTGAAGGTCTCGCTTGGAAAGGCATGATACGCTTTGGAAAGTATGGGAAATTAAACCCAAGGTACATAGGACCTTTCGAGATCATCGCTAGGATCGATCCAGTAGCATACAAACTCCGATTACCTCGAGAGCTTAGCAACATCCACCCTGTCTTCCACGTTTCCAATATTAAGAAGTGCTTATCTGACGAAACCCTTATAGTCCCTTTCAACGAAATTGAAGTCAATGAAAATTTGAACTTCGTGCAAGAACCAATCGAAATAATGGATCGGGAGATCAAACGAACAAAGCAAAGCCGCAACCCAATTGTGAAAGTTTGCTGGAACGCCAAACGAGGACCGGAGTTCACTTAGGAGCGCGAGGATCAAATGAAACTTAAATACCGTCATCTTTTTGCTTAGTTATTGTATTATAATTAGTTGTTCGAATCTAATTTCGGGACGAAATTCCATCTAACGGGGGGTTGATGTGACAACCCGAATATTTCGTATATACATATATATATATATATATATATATATATATATATATATATATATATATATATATATATATATATATATATATATAATTTCTTCAGTCTAACACTTCATTTGAAAGTCAAAATTCATTTCTGCCATCTTTTAGCATAATTGAAAGTCCATTTGAGTATTCCGGGCCTTGTACACTTAAGGACCAAGTGTTAGAAAGCAACCACTAAAGCCCTAATACCAAAACCATGCCATAAAACTCCATAAGATGGAGTTTACGGCCGTTAACATGGAGTTTACGGCAGTAAACTCTTCAACGGTAAACTCTTGGGCGGTAAACTCATGGGCGGTAAACTCTTGGGCGGTAAACTCATGGTCAGTAAACTCTTGGGCGGTAAACTCATGGGCAGTAAACTCTTGGGAGGTAAACTCATTAGGGTCGTGAATTCACACATATAAAGGTGAGCCTTGACCATTTGTAAACCTTTTTCACACACTTAGAAGCTCCTCTCTCTATTATCTCTCTACAAAATCGGGTTTTGATCAAGAATCATCCAATTGTAAGTGTTTTTCTTTGTAAACTTTCTCATACAACACTTATTCTAGTGATCTTACACCATTCTATCCCTGAAATCATTCCAGTTCTGTTGATATTCAAGTGTTCTTGATTCACTAAGAACACACTAGTGTTCTTGGCCAAAAATCAACCATTTCAAGCTCCTAGATTGTAAGTATTCCTATCCTAACTCAATGTACACTAGGATTAACATGTTAAGGGCTTAAAAACATCATGAATCAAGGATGGATGAGAGTTTACAGCCAAGGAATGTTTTTGGGTCGTCAACTCCCTTTAAGGGTGCAAAGTTGCCCTTTCTTCCTTCCTTATGCCTAGAACTCAACATAGAACCAACCACCATTGAAGTAGGGACCTTAAACATCAAAGAAACCATGTCCTTCTAGAGTTTAAGGCCATGCACCCCCAAGGAAATGGTCCTTTGGCCGTAAACTCCCTAAAGGGGTCATATGGTGCCCTAACACCCCTATGGCTTGTATAAATGACTAGAAACTTGTATGCATAACCTAAAAACACCAAAACATGAAATGAAGGGACCAATATAAGTTTACGGCCGTAAACTCATATTTTTACATCCGTGGACCCCCAAGGGTCCATTTGGAGCCCTAGTCACTTTCTATGCCCTAGAATTGATTCTAGCTTGCTTCCCTAAGTGATATAAGACTTTTAAGCAACCAATGGCACCACTTCCATGAGTTTACGGTTGTAAACTCATAGGGGAAGTGGTCTTGAAACTGTAAACACCACTAGGGGCCCTCAATTGAAGAGTAAACTCCAATGTGAGGCCATACTCTCTTTATATGAAACCTTTGGTACTCCTAGCACTTGTGGTAAAGTGTTTCGTGCATTAGTATGCCTTTACTTGTATAATTAGTTATTAAATAACTAATTAGATACTTAAATGTATCCTTACATGTTAAATAGTATATGAGTGTGTGTTCAAGTCCTCACTTGACACCTAGCATCCTACCCGACACTTCCATCCATTCCACTCACAGCAGGTGAGTTCATACCCCTACACTTTTCCGAGATTTTCATGTTCTGAGGGGGGAATACAAGCTAATCATAAAGGATTTCGTAATTTAAAAACTGATGTAATTACAACGATTTTCTATCAAACATTTAGATACCCTTATCCCTTTTGTAACATGCAGAGCATAAGGGACGCTTTCTAAATATAATTACATAGTTTTCAAAACAGCACTGGAACTTAACAAACCATTCAAACTATTTTGGTAACAGTTTGGGATTTCATTGCCTGTTTTATAGATTCTAATTTCATGCAAGGTCAAACACATATAAACTATGTCAGATTTAGTTTATCCATTACTGATATAGAGTATCATGCTAAATGACTGTTTTGTGTATAATTATTTATACCCCACATTGTTCCAAACGATTTCGAACTCGATAACAACTAAACA